GTAGGCGGCCTTCGGCCGCGCTTAGGGATTATAACCCTTACTAAGTAGAATTCTCCTTTCTGTGTTGCCGGAAAAGGGGGCCGGAAGTACTTTTGCGCAGAACTTCTTTCTGCGTAGGCGGCCTTCGGCCGCGCTTAGGGATTATAACCCTTACTAAGTAGAATTCTCCTTTCTGTATTGCCGGAAAAGAAGGGCGGACGTATTTTTGCGCAGAACTTTCCTCTGCGTAGGCGGCTTTCAGCCGCGCTTAGGGATTAAAACCCTTACTAAGTAGAAGTAAATAATTCATATTAGAAAAAACGAAATTATCCATATGCACACTTTCGTTAGAAAACCGAAATAATGCATATAACAAAAACCGAAATAATGCATTCATGCACAATTTCAGTTCAAAACCGAAATAATGCATATGGCAAAAACCGAAATAAAGCATACATGCACAGTTTCGGATGAAAACCGAAATAATGCATATGTGAAAGACGAAGGTATGCATACATGCACAGTTTCGGTTGAAAACCGAAATAATGCATATAACAAAAACCGAAATAATGCATGCATGCACAGTTTCGGTTGAAAACCGAAATAATGCATATGAAAAACCCGAAGTTATGCATACATGCACAGTTTCGGTTGAAAACCGAAATAATGCATATGAGAAAATACCGAAATTATGCATATGCATACTTTCGTTTTAAAAGCGAAATAATGCATATGAAAAAAAAACGAAGTAATGCATACATGCACAGTTTCGGTTTAAAACCGAAATAATGCATATGGTAAAAACCGAAATAAAGCATACATGCACAGTTTCGGTTGAAACCGAAATAATGTCTAAATGCACAGTTTCCACATGCGCAATTTCGGTGCCCCATTTTATCTTGTTGCCTTGAATAGAAAAGTTCTTTAAATGTAAATTCTATCTTAAACTGAAGCATTTTCACCTAAGCTAATCCTTTTGACCACTTCGGTATGTTAGTTATAGACAATTGTTTTCCGTTTACCTTTAATATCCCATGGCACACGACTATGTAGCATTATCCGCATCGCCTTAACAGTATTCAGAAGAAGCACATCGTACTAACTGAATTTTTTTTTTGCCTGCGGGATATTAGAAGTATGTACACTTTTTAGATGCATACTTATGCCTTATGCGTGCCTTTTATCGTATCTCTGTATTTCACTAAATCCCTGTGTGAGGAAACCAAATAATATAATTCTTAACAGAAGTGCCTAAAACTTAACAGTCTGGCCATGTTAAAGACTATTGACGCTAATTTTCGGTATTTCTCTTACTAGCACCTGAAACTATACTTATTATTTACTACCGCTGCGGCTTTAACAAATTTATAGCGTTTTTACGTTCTTTGGCAAATTACGCTCTGTTAGCCATAAATTTTACTAAGTTTTGATCGCCTTTGTATCAAGACCCCTGGACCATCTAGGAAATTAATTTATATTTTATATTGCATTGTCATCGTGATTGGAACTATGCTGAATTTCAAGTCTCTAGCTTGTCGGGAAGTTAGTTTAAAATCGATTGGAAATTTCTGCAGGATGACAAATTTAAATAAAGGCTTGTAAAAAAATTGTGAACAAAATTTGGGCCGGCTGGAATTTTTTCGACCACTGTAGTATGTACGTAAAGACTTATTATATGTCCTTTTTTATTGCTTATTTGTTAACTAACTTTATAAACGTTTGGTTTATGAATACATAGATTAATTACCTTTAAAAATTAAATAAACAGAAATACAAACAATATATCAAAATACATATATTTTTTTTTGTAAATAAGGAGATATCTATGGGTGGGGAATTTCAAAAAATTGCACTTGTGCACAAGGGTATATTAATTTTGTTCACATAACGTTTGTTTGTAACAGCCAAAACGAATCGAGATAGATATAGACAAATGTATACATAAATGATCAGAATGAAAAGAGAAATCGATTAAGCCATGTCTGTCTGTCCGTCCGTCTGTCCGTCTGTCCGTCTGTCCGTCTGTCCGTGTACACGATAACTCGAGCAAAAATTGAGATATCTCAACGAAATTTGGTACGTAAGTTTCCATTTATGCAAGGTAGGTTGGTATTGAAAACGGGCGAAATCGGACTGTAACCACGCGCACTTCCCATATAACGGTAATTTTCAGAAATACGAAAACTGCGATATTTTAGG